GGGACAATTGTAATAGCATAATCAATAAAACATATATTAAAAAACCTCAACACACTGCAAAAATGAAATACAACAAACTACAGCTAAATATGGCAACAGAAAAATCTTAGAAATGTAATGCTGAATTTCAAAATAACATTTTTAGAAGACTACTATATAAAAAAATAACATTAGTTTTACAGTTAAACCAAGCACAACCAACAACATGTTGGTTAATATTACACAATCTGTGATAACTTATTTTTTTAAGTGCAAGGTCATGATAAACACAAACCACTCATTACCTTTACGAGGCGGCAGGCAGCGGTACGAGAAGGGAGGAAGATGCTGGCAGCACCAATGGTAGTTTCAATGTTCTGGATTTAAGTTTGTCAGTAGGTTCACAAGTGCATATTCATTACTATGCTTCCTAATTCTTATTTTGTTATATTTTTCTTTTCTATGTATCAGCTTGGACATAATAACTTAATTTTTTCCAAATGGATCAAATATTTAAATGTAAACAATGAAACCATAAATGTACTAGGAGAAATCACAGGATACATTTTTTGAAGTTACTGTGACATGATAAAAGGCCTTTCCGAATATGATCAAAACCCAAAGGACTTGAAAGATGGAGGAATTAGGTAAATTTCACCATAAAAAAGTTAAAAGATAACAATTAACTAGACAAAAAACACCTGCCATCCGCGACAACGCGCCAATTTGCTCAACATATACTTTCACAAATCAGTAACAGAAGCTAATCCTTCATACAAAAATAAAGGATATGAACTGCCAGTTCACAAAAAAGGAAATAGAAATAGACTTTAAATACATGAAAGTGTGCTCAGCCTCAGAATAGGAGAAATGGAATCCACTGAAATATCACAGTAGACTCGCACCCTGGAGAAAGATAAAAAAAAAATACGGTAACCACCGCTTGCTTGTTGCAGTCACTTCTCAGCCCTGAGATCACTTGCCTTAATTTCTTGAAGATTTTACTACTGGATCTCTATACATGCTCTTGAACATTGGTTCTGTCATAAGTCTTGGTGATCTCATACCAATACAGATGTATAATTCTTCCAACACATTCTCCTCTCCATTCCTGCATCTCTCCTGCGATGTCCTTGTCTCCAGCCTCCCTAGGTCACGCATCAACAATAAATGCAATCCCCAAATAATCCCACCTACAGACAGCCCACCCTCTAACCCCCCTATACCTCAGTTCCAATAATTCCTTGGCCCCATCAGAACCCATGTTCCATTCATCCTGCCTTCTCTTCACTCCCCCACACTCCTCTCCTTACCCAGATGAAAATCCTTGTTCCATTTTTGCAAATACCCCTTGCATACATTTTCATTCCCTTGCCCTCTCAGGTTTCATTGTACTCACCTGGCAAAGCCCTAACTGGTTCTACACCACCACTTGCCTGCTCTGTGCTTGCATTTACGCAGCTTTGCATGGCTGGAAAAAGTTCTCACTTTAAATTATGACCACAAATCTCAGGTGGGTCCTTAGTGCTGCTTGGCAATCACACATTTCCACAGTCCATCACTTCCCTGGACAACTATTTCATGCCCTAATGTCTCCCATTCCATCCTCACCCTCTACTGTTGACCTTGCTTCCTGCGTCACTGAGAAAACAAAGCAATCGGAAGAGAACTCCTGCAGGCTCCCGCACTGGATTTCTGTGCCTAGGTTTTCTGTCTTCGCTGCTGTTTGGGGGATAACTGTGCTTCCGGCTAAAACTAGTCTTGTGCACGGGGTCCTATGCCCTTTGCCAACTAAAAATCATGGCATTAGCAATTCTCCCTTCTGTTTATTGTATCATTTTCCCCTTTCCTACTGAGTTTTTCTTATCAGCATATGAACAAGCTATATATTTTTAAAGATTTTATTTATTTACTTATAGAGAAAAGGGAAAGAGGGAGAAAGAGAGGCAGAGAAACATCAATGTGTGAGAGATACATTGATCAGTTGCCTCTCACATGCCCCCAACTGGGGACCCCAGGCATGGGCCCTGACTGGGAATCGAAGCAGTGACTTTTTGGTTCACAGACCAGGTGCTCAATCCACTGAGCCACACCAGCCAGGGCATTTTTCCCTTTCTTTGTCCTTACATTGTATTTCAGCCCCCATCCCATTTCTATGATCCCTGCAGAGCAAAACTCAAGAGAATTCCTCCAGTCCTGGTCTCTAATCTCCCTTCTCCCATTTTTTTCTTAATCCCTCCCGTGTCATATTTCTGTTTCTCCACTCCAATGAAGTGGCGCCCGTTGAGGACACTGATGTCCCCCACGTTGCTAAATCCAATGGTCGATTCTTAGGTTTCTTATCACAGCCAGAGCGCCACGCATGCTGTTGACCCGTTTTCTTTTCAGAATATTTTCTCCCCTAGGACACACCACTCCCTGATTTCTCTCTGACTTCACTGGCTGCCCCTTCTCATTCTTCTTCGCTGGTTCCAGTTCTCTATGACCTCCAGACACCTGGGCACGCCAGGACTAGGGTCTTGAACTTGTTCTGTTCTCTATCAGTACTCATTCCCTCGATGATTTCATTCACTCAAATTTCTATCTGCAGCCTGGACCTTCCCTGGAGAGCCACACCCCTGTTTGTGAGCTGCTTTGCACCATTCCCATCTTCAACATAATGTGTTCAAATCCAAACTCCTGATCCTCCTCCTTCCAAACTTGCTGTCCACGAGCTTCCCCCTTCTTGGTAAATAGAGGTTCTTTCTAAGTTGCACACATCAGAAACCTTGGGAGACATCTCTGACTTTTCTCCGTCACTTTGTCTCTCCTTCCGTAACAAATCGGACGAGCTCTGCCTGTGGAACCTCTCCCACATCCAACCACTTCTTACCACTTCTTATTATAATGTCCCTGGTCTCATTCTCCATCATCTCTCCCCTGTGATGGCTCCTAACTCATCTCCCCGCTTCCGCCCTTGCCTGCTACAGGTCACCTTCAAAGCAGAAGCTAGAGTAATCTTGCTGAAATGTAAATCAAGTCATATCATTCTTCTCAAACTCCCCCAATGCCTTCCATGTCATTCAGAATAAAAGCCAAAGTCCTTACGACGGCCTGCAAGCCCAGCACGCAGGCAGCCTGCCAGGCCTTGTGTGATCTTGCTTCTCCCTGCCCCATCGCTAACTCTCTGACATCACCCCCTGCAGTCACCTGGGGCGTCTTGCTGTTCCTTAAACACACCAGGGACACTCCTGCCAAGAAGATTTCCCCCCAGACTCATACATGGCTCACTCCCCCACTTCCTTCGGGTCTCGGCTCAAATGTCATCTTGGGAGTGAGGCCTTCCTTACATAATCTAAAAATTGCAGTTCTGCTTCCTGGGCACTCTCTGAACCTCTCCTGGTGGCTTTTTTCCCTCCTTAGCTGTTACCACCACCCAGCATGCTGTACATCGTACCCACTCGGTTTACGTCCATCTCCCCGACTAGATTGTAAGCCCATAAAGACAAAGCTTTTTGTCTGTTTTAGTCACTGCTTAATCCACGGCATATGGAAGAGACCCTGGCACAGAGGAGATGTTAAAAAATTGTTGAATGAATAAACAACATATATCACTGGCCAGAGGATTGGGAACAGGCATTCTGAAAATTGTTGGTGAACTGGCAATGACCATCAAAATGACAAATGCACATATCTGTGACTCAGCAATTCCACTTCTAGCACTGCAGTCTCATTCATAAAGTTCACATTTGTGCAAAATGGCACATGCTCAAGGTCATTCACTGCAGTACATCTTATCCCTGAAAAAGAACGAAAACAGCTAAACTGTTCGGCAACAGAGACCATGTAAAGAAGTTACAGTTTATTCACACAATGGAATGTTTACGGTGGCAAAAAAGAATAAGGAGACTTCTCGTGTCCTGAGAGAAGCTCCCAGATATATATATATATATATATATATATATATATATATATATATATATATATATACCACGTGCGTACCCACCTTTGAGAAAGGTGCTGAAAATACATGTAAATGCCACCTTTTTATATAAATAAAGGGGTAGGTGCAAAAGCAACGTATATCTGCATTTTCTTGTATACGCACAGACTATTTCAGGAAGGACTGCTAACTTCAGAGGGCAAACGGATGGCGGGTCAGCCAGAGACAGATTTGCTATAAACCCTTTTAAAGTTGAATGTTTTCTTTATTAAAAGAAGAGCAAAGCGGGGTTTATGTTCCAATGTGAAATGGCCTCTAGGATATAAAAAGTGTGGCAAAAGTAGGTTTATAGTTGTTTGTATGGAAAATAACACAATAATTAATAAATAACACAAGAGCAAACTTTGTGTTTAGTGCACTGCACCCTGTACCCATGTGCGTGTATGCACATATACATACTACACTTTTTTCCAAAAACAGGTAAAGTACAAAGGCGTGTGCGCACTATGCTGTGCATAACAGTGAGGGCAGACTTACTTTCCATGATTGGCTCTCAGACCTTTTGAATTTTGTACCTTATATATATATGTCCTATTAAAAAATAAAATTGTTTTTAAAAGTCATGGTGGGAGAGTGAATGTTTATCTGCATCCCTGTGACCTGTGAAGTATTTCTCCCATTTTCCAATGAAGGGAACGGACATCGAGTCAAACATTACAGAGGCGGCACCTGGACCAGAACCCAGCTTTCCCTGCCTGGCCCACTCCAGTCCCTCCGTTGTCCCAGCTTTTCTCTCTGGGGCAAGTTCACTGCCTGCCTTGCCTCCCATCCCCTGCCCTTCCCAGGCTCCTCAGGGCACACAGCTCCTAAGCCCGGCCCCAGAGCATTTGCCAAGGCTTCACTGGAGGGGGGGGCATGGCTGGTGGCTCCCCGGTGTCTTGACAGTTTTCGTCTGCTGAGAGCCACCAACAAGGGGGGGGGGCGGTGTGGAAGTGGGGGCGGGTGGCTCCCTCCCTCCCTGGAGCCACCACTGTGTTCTATGACTGAGCCCAGCCTGCCCAGGCCTTGCAGCACCCAGGCCCACACACCCAGCCTGTACCTGTCAATAATGACGGGGTCTGAGGGCGTCTCATTCCGGTTACCACAGCTCTTCCGGTCACAGCACCGGCTGTGGAGAGATGAGGAGGGAGGGAAGGAGAAAAGCAGTGAGGGAGAGAAAGATTGCAGTATGCGTGTACACATGTGTGTGTGTATGGTCTGTGGGGTGAGGATGCTGATGTCCAGTCTCCGGGTATAGTATCCTTGGGCCAGAGGGGCCTGGGGGAGAAAGGCAGTGAGGGTCCTGTCACAGGGAGCTGGAGCGCCCCGCCCCGGGGATGAGGTTGGCCGGGACACCCTTGTCCCCAAGGCATGCCGCTCCTGGAGGATCCAGGAAAGGGCCGGCTGCCGGCCACCTACGGGGCTGCTCATTCTCTCCGTGTGTACGCTTTTTATCCATTTAGAGACAAGCTAAGATTGTAAGCGTGCAGCTCATGAATTATCACCAAGTGAACCCACCGTGTAATGAGCATCCAGAAAAGAAATGCCACACGTGTGCCCAGTGGCCCAGAAGCCCCCTCCTGCCCTCTCCTGTCACTGCTCTTCCCAGGGGCAGCCACCATCCCAACCAGATTTTGGAACACTGGGCTCTCTTTTCCTTGCACGAGGAACTGCCTCCTAGGAGGTTGTCTGACTGGCATCTCCTGGGGAGACCTTGCCCAGAAATGCCAAGCCCTGTGGTCATGTGACAGGGGAGTGGAGAGCTGTGTTCCCCACTCAGCCCCTAGACAAGGGAAGTGCCCGGAGGGTTACATAGGAGGCAGCAAAGTTTCCTCCCTCCTTCCTGCTCTGGAGCGAATCCAGGAGGCCCAGGCCCTGCCCCCACGTCTGCAGAGAGCCTTCCCCAGAGCTTCATTAGTTAAGCTTCCCAGCAGGGGCAGGAGGCCTCTCTTACAAAAACACTTGGAGAAACCACATAAACAGGCCAGGCTAATGGGGCCTCAAGGACCCTCTCCTCGGCCAGCACTGTGCCCAGGGGCCTCCCTCTTCCCTCACCGCCTCCTCCCACCAGACTTCCCCAGGGAGTGGCAGGGGTGGGGGGTGGCAGCCGTAGGGGGCAGGGTCAAGGTGCGAGTGACCCAGCCCTCCTCACCTGCACATGATCTCATGGGTGAGCAGCACTCGGCACATTTCAGGGTTCTTGTCCTGACCCTCATAGATGATGGCCTGCGGAGGGAGGAAGAGCACAAGCTCAAGTGCAAGGAGGCTCCTCTTCTAAGTGCAGGGGAAAGAGGGGAATGGCCCCGCCCCCTGAGAAGATCACACTTTCCAAGTCACTCTAGGGGGCCTAGGAGTGTAAAGCAGGCGCTGGGAGCCTGGCTCCTCCCCAATCCAGGATCGCCACTAGGGTGAGCAACCGTGGCATGAAGTCTATTGATTCTGTTTGTCCACAGGCAGCTTATTCCAGGTCCAGCTCTGCTTGGAATCAGGGAGGACCGCAGACCAAGGACCAAGGTCAGGCTGGGATGAGAGTAGACACTTCCATCCCCACTCCTCCCATGGCCCTAGTGGGCCTCTGCTTCTGCTCGCAAACCTTGTCCTCTAGGCTATCTCAGCTGGTTAACCAGTGTCTCCCTGGGACTATTGGACCAGCCTCCTCACCGCACCCCCCACCCACAGCTTCCACTCTGTCCTGAAACAAGGAGTAGCTTCCTAAATAGCAAATCTAGCTTCCTACTTCATAACCCCTGAGCCTCACGGCCATCCTTCAGTGAGCAGGACTCCTGAGTCCTTCTCTCTTCCAACTCCCCAGCTTCTTCCACACCATCCCCTGCAGTCTCACTTGGCCACTGCCTGCCTGGCCTGCCTCCCTCACCACTGCGAACACAGACCACAGGGTTTCTAGAGAGAAACCATGTCTTCCTCTGCCCTGGGACTGGGTGGAAGCTGCTGGAAAACCCTGCCTGTGTGGGAAAACCCAAGTGTCCACCTCGCATTCAGGGCCGCTGACGGGCCCATCTGAGCTCTGCTCCCTCTTTGCCAGTGCACACAATTTCTCTCCAAAATTCTGAGTCCTGTCACAGCAAGCACAGCCTATCAGGGCCCATTCCTCCCCAGCTCCTGGGGACATGGGCCCCTGAGCCTCCTTCCTGTGACCTTTCCGATCAGCAGGGGGCTGAGGGTCTGCAAAAGCTCTGGGACCCTACCTCAGCTCCTTCCCTGAACTGGTGCACCCACCCCCAGTTGCAGCTGGTGTTGGCTGCTAAGTGCTTTCTCCTGAGAATGGCTCGCAGCAGCAGATAGGCGCTGCCTTGCCCGAAAGTGTCTGGAAGGTTACACATTCCCCTGGGGAGTGCTCCCCAGCCAATGACTGACTCATACAGGATACCGAATGCTGGCCTCTTTGCCTCAAGGTGGACGACTCTGGTGTGACTTCTTCTCTACAGCTTCCTGTCCATCAGGCTGAGGTTGGGCTCCAGCTGAGCCCCCACCCTTGCTGAGCATCTCCCACCCTGTCCGGCTTCCCCCCACTCCCTTCTGTTACACACCCCTATCTGCTATTCCAACAAACCTTGTGTGCCTGAATCCCTGTATCTAAGCTGCGCTCCTAGGGAACATGACCCAGGATGAGGTCTTTGTATAAATATTGCCTTTTTCTAGACTAGAGGGCAAGGACTGCACAGGCTGGGTGAGCACTGAGGGACCTGGACCAGTGCAGGTGGCAGCACGGGGAGGCGAGGGCAGGGATGCTCACTCGTGCCACAGCAGCCAGGGTCTGAGCACTCGGACTGGCTCACCTGCTTGGACATGGAGTCAATGAGGCGCACGTAGAGGTCCTGCTCCGTCCGAAGTCCTAGGGGTGGAAAGGTGAGAGGGACTGCTGCATGGGGAGTGTCTGTGGCTGCCGATGACTGGAGCACGCTGCACGCTCTCCCTCCTCAGCCCTGACAGCAGGTATCACGTGTGGCATGGGGCTCTGGTGCCCAGTGTGCAGTGGGCTTCACTCACCATTGTTATACACCAGCCGGAGGCGGTAATGGATCCCGTTGTTCGTCTTTTCTGCCCCAGGTTCCTACAGGGCCAAGATGGGGAGGATGCTCCCAGGGGTCTCCCTCCCCCAGCCCTCCTCTCTAAACCCACCTTTCCCCCCTCCCTTCCATCCATTTACCCCCTCTTCTCCTCTCCTCCACCATCTACCTACTCATCTGCCTCGTGAGAGGGGTGTCCCTGAAGCCCTCCTGCCCCCACTATCCCGTGCTCTGTCCCAGCCGAGCCCACGAGCCTCTCACTAGGTCCTTTTCCACGAAGTTGATGAAAGCCGTGCGCTCCACCTCCACGGGCTGCCCCTGCCGGTCATACATGGCCAGCACGAAGTGGAAGAAGTTGGATTTCCTGAGGTTGGAGGGAGGCTGCTTCTCAAAATGTGCTCGTGCCAGGCCCACGCCACTGCGGGAGGAAAGGAGCCGGGAGGCTGCGGAAGTGCCCTCGGGGAGAGATCCCTCTGCCCAACCAGGCAGCCTGGCTGGTCAGGGCCCGGCCCCCACACGGCAAGAACTTGGGCAAGGAATAACTTAAGTGGGCCCATCTCACGGGCGGCAGGGTCATCTCAGTTCCAGAGGCCTCTCTGCCCCGAGGTCACCCCCGCCGGCTGCCTTGGGAACAGGGAGTAGCATGGAGGTGCCCCGGCCAGGCTCTCTCCTAGGATTTTCCCTGGGCTCACGTTTTGAAAGGCTGATCTCCAAAACCAAGTGCACGGGCAACTGGACAGCCCATTGTACTGAGAAAAGACATCTGCGCCTGCCCTTAGGGCATCAAGGGGCAGTTGGGAGGCTCTGGGACAAATACCCCACTGTACCCCGGTCCATGGCTGTGTACCCGAGCCTGCAGCACTGTCTGGGAGATGATGACACCCAGCAGACTCTCAGAGACATCAAACGGGCTCGGGGCCATTAGCCTGCCGGGCCTGGATCCTGGCCTACGGAGAAGGCAGGGGACACCCTCTCCAGGCGTGGAGGGCCTGCCTCTGTGCTTTGGGAAAGACAGCCCCTGGCTCCCTTGGGCAGCAGGCTCTTTCGGTCTGGCCTTGCCAAGGGCTTTCTCCTCATTCGTCAGAAACCATTCCCAAAAGCACGGCCAGGGCAAAAGCAGGAGGAGGAAAAGGACCGAGACCCTTTTCACCAAATACTTGCTGAACTCCCATGATGCACCACACATTGGACACGTGGCACCAAGTGGGGCTGGAGTTAAAAGCCTGGATGGGAGGGAGACAGACAGCTTTAACACCAGACAAAGGGGTAGGTGCCCTCCAAAAGAAGTTACTGTATCAAAAGCTATAGAAGCAAGGGAAGAAGAAATGAATTCTTTCTGTGAAAGATGAGGGAAAAGACTTCATGCAGATGGAGGCTTTTTGCCTGGCCTTTGAGGGATGAATAGGAGTTCAACAGGTACACCAGACAAAAGAACAGAACAAATGGCCTAAGGAACAGCGGTAGGGATAAGGGCTAGTGTCACAGGATTACAGATGTCAAAAAGTGAAGCAATGAGAGAAAAGGCTATAGTGGAGGTGTTAGACTATGCAGGGTCACAAAAGAGTTTTGACTTTCTTGTCAAGGTCAAGGTCTTCCATAGTATATTCCTTAGATGTCTCATAGACTCAGATCCTTCCTCTGCAAAACAGAGGTGCTATGGTCATGTGCTATGGCCATAACCCTGGAAAACGTGGCTTCGAAGCATTCCTTGTGTATGGCAGGGGTGGGGGGGGCGGGGAGCCTGGAATACCCTACAGGAATGGACCCCATTCAGCCTGGCTCAGGCTGGTACCCCTGCCATGCGGTAGCCAGCCTCCAAGATGGTCCCCCAGGGTCCCCCGCTTCCTGGGATTCACACCGTGCCGTTGGTCACCTCACACACTGTATCAGGACCACTCTGTGTGGCTGACAGACTACAGCGCAAGTGATAGCATATGATTTCCAATGTTAGTTCCTGAAAGACACTGTGGCTTCTGCCTCATTCTCTCTCTCGGGTCAGTCACTCGGGGGAAAGCCGGCTGCCATGTTGTGAGGACATTCCAGCAGCTCCACAGAAGGTCCAATGGAGATGCACTGAGGCCTCTGGTCCACAGCCGGCACTAACTTGAGTGAGACTTGAGAGGAGATCCACCAGCCCCAGTCAGGCCTTCAGATGACTGCAGCCCTGGCTTCCAACCTTGACCGCGGCCTCATAAGAAGCCCTGAGCCAGAACCACTCACCTATGCTGCTCCCTGTTGTCTGACTCTCTGAAACTGTGAGATGTTGGTTGTCTTATGCAGCTCAGTCTTAGCACCGTTTTCTATGTGGCGGTAGACAACTGACACACCACACTTACCTGACTACGGAGCATTTTTACTGAGGGATGTGCTTTAGGAAACACGACTCAAGGCCACCAGAAAATTCTGGAGTCAGGCAGGGCTCAGAAGGTGCTGCAGGTGGCAGGATGGGAGGTGGGAGTTGGTGGTGGGGGGTGGAGGGGGGTGGTGAGCGTGGGGGAAAAGTGAGAGGCTGCTGCAGGGATGCAGAGGAGGAAGGGACGGTGGGGCTGCCTCGAGAGGCATTTAGACAGGGTCCCGCCGCGGACATGCCACCATGGCAATGGCTGCCATATCCACCACTACTTAAGGGTTTTTTTTTTGCCCTGGATGGTGTGGCTCAGTGACTTGCGCACCAGCCTATGAACTGAAAGGTTGCCTGTTCCATTCCCAGTGAGGGCACATGCCTGGGGTGGGAGCCAGGTCCCCAGTAGGGGGCGTGCGAGAGGCAACCATCTGATGTTTCTCTCCCTCTCTCTTTCCCTTCCCCTCTCTCTGCAAATAAATAAATAAAATCTTTTTTTAAAAGATTCTTCATATAATTTAAAATCAACTCACTCAGCTCCAGGTGAAGCCATAATATCTGTGCCGTCATGGGCTTGAGAGGCCTGTTATATTTTTACTCATATGTTACAGTAAATATATAAATAACCAAAAGAAAATTGTTCCTCCTCTTGAAAGCCTGCTTCAGAGTCTCAGTGGTTGATGTGAAATGATTTCAGAGACAGACGTGATGGGGCCAGCCCTGGCTGCTGTGGCTCAGTGGACTGAATGCTGGCCTCAAGACCAAAGGGTCGCTGGTTCGACCCCCAGTTTAGGGTTGTGGGCCAGGTCCCCAGTGGGGGCATGTATAAGAGGCAACCACACATTAATGTCTCTCCCCCTCTCTTTTTTCTTCCCTTCCCATCTCTCTAAAAATAAATAAATAAAATCTTTAAAACAAAAAAAATTAAAAAAAAAAGAAGTGATGAGTTTTGTTTGTTTCTATCAAGATGAGGAGGAAGGGGGCTAAGGAAAACTATTCCCAGGCAAACGTTTTTTCTACACTTGTTCCTTTCCCTAGGGACATCCTTCTCTCTTTGTCCTTCCTTCTCTCTCCTGCCCCTCCCCCCTTCTCCCTCGGGCTACAGTCCTTTCAAGTCCAGCCCTTGACCCTCCAATTTCCCTTTTACCGAGAGTCAGGGAAGCCCAAAGAGGGCTTTGATCACAGCAGGGCCCTGATTACTGTTAATGAATATGCTAATGAGACAGCAACTTTGACTCCTCCCTCCTGTCCCCAGGACCACCTAAGGGGAGAAAAGCTCCCAGGGACAGGTTCCAGGCCCAGCTGGTGGAGAGGGCCAGAAGGGGGCGGGCTTGTGGAGCCGTCCCGGATCCCTCTGCTCTTTCTGCTGTCATCTCGCCCGGGAAAGGTACGGGAAAGCTTTCAGACAGCAGGGAGTGAGGACGCAGAGGGAAAAAAGGTCTTGAAAGAGGAGGGTAGATGCTGTGCAGTAAGTAGCACAATCTCCTAGACCACTCAACACACCCTTCCTACACAGCCACGTTTGTACTTCCCAGGCCCAGAGTAAATCAGTGATGCTGGCCTGAGCCTCCTCTCCCAACCATCTCTCCTGGCGAATACCAGTCAGTCCTGGGTCCTAGCTACCTGCTGGCTCCTGAGAACCAGATCTGGGAAGTCTGGCCTAAGTCCCAGCCAAGCTCCCTTCACAGGGCCCACCCTCATTACTGGAGGGGATGCTTGGGGAGAAGAGGTCAGGTACCCTGGCCTGGGGACACTGGTGCTGCCCGCTGGGGAGAACAGTGCCCTACCCCACCATGGGGTCGGGCTCAGTTCCACTTCGCCTGAGACTGCCCAGCATCATCCTCTCTTCCCCACCTTGTTTAGTGGGTCCGAGCCACAGTCATCCTCCTGGGTTCCTGTCCAGCCACACTGAGCAACAAGACAGAGGTGGCTAGTGCACAGCTCCGAGAGAGGGTCACTGTTCTGAACAACAACAGCACAAGGCAATAGCCCCAGCCCTGCAGACCAGGAGAAGACAGCAGAATGGGGCCAGCCGCCTAGCCTGCTGGGCACACCCAAGGCTGCTCCTGGCCTGTGAATGCTTCCAGTTTACTCTGTTCGCAACCCCCGCCGGACCTGGGAGAAGATTGAAGTGAGATAGAAAAGGTCTTGCTTTAGAGACATCCTAGTGTTCCTATGAACCAGAGACAGACAGTGACATAAGGATCAGCACATCAGTGAGAGCACCAGAGGCTGGCCAGGACTGTGCCTCTCTTCTCCTGGTTGCCCGAGGCAACTCAACCCCCAGGGTGCAGTAGGTGACCCACCACCATCCCTAAATGGAACTGTAAGCCCCAAAGGGAGAGGGCTGAGGGAGGAGGGATTTTTGCTTTTCTCCCCTTTGGGAATAGCTGGTGCTCTTGTAATAAGAAAACAAACCATGATTAAAGAGCAGAAAGAAACAAACATAGAGATATGCTCCAACAACTCAGAAGAGAGACACAGGGCAGATGCAGAGGTCTGACAGCCCTGCTGGGTGCAGATGTGTGGGACACAGGCGGGAGCCGGGACTGCGGTCCGCTCTCACACCAGCTTACAGATGGACAGATGTGGAGGAAGGCCACTGTCTCTGGTTCCATGGTCTCCAAAGTGGGGTTACCCAAGTTTGGAGTGCAGGGAGAAACTGCAAGGACGTTTATTGATGTCTACCCTTTAACTAAAAGAAAGAAGGGAGGCAGGAGGAGAGCCCCTGAGGTCTGGAGAGGCAAGCGTTTTATTTGGGTTTCCTCGGGTGCAGCACCCTCAAACACCAGGTTTGTGTGGGAGACGAGTCTGGGAAGTAACTAATGCGGAGAGGGAGTGAGAGAGAAAAGGAAAGGCAGTTTATAAAAGGGCGCATTATTGAAAAGTCGCCACTTTGGGCAATGGCAGTGCAATCCCCCGGGGAGCTCTGGAAACACTGGAGGAAGTGAGAAAGCGTGCTTTGGAGTTGCTGCGCCAGAAGGCGGGAGGAGGGAGCTGGAGTTTTATCCACCAGCTCCAGAGGGCTTCTGGGTTACTTCTCAGGTACTTCTGGCCTGATGTGAAGGTGGGCAGAG